GTATTACTATACTTGTGGGGACATTTGGTCCCCATAACGTGATGAATACCAGGTGCACACACACACACACACTCACACACATACACTCACACACACTCACACACACTCACTCACACACACACACACACACACACTCACTATAACACTTCACACATGCATTTTCATTCATTCATAAGCTATAATGGATACAATAAAATTTTAGTTCAAAAATTTAAGTGCCATTGTTTAAAAAACATGCTTTATTGACTAACGTTTCATAGACGTTCAGTTATGCTTTCAAATTTCATGCCATTTGTAGCCTATGTAATTTCACAGTAATTTCTTTATAAAAACCATATCTTGTTTTTATCTATTGTTTAATTAATGAAAGTTATCTGAGAACATGAACTATCGTGAGTAAGATTAAATAAGATCACATCTGTCCATTACGGGGCACCCAGATTTCACATATCTTCATTCATTTATCCACAGATATGAGAAAATAATAGAAAATGACTTGGCTTAAAGTAGGATATCATTACATTCATTTCTTAGCACTGAAGTGTAGTTTGTACAGCTTCTTTTGATGCGTAAACAACAACTTCTCTCTTAACATCATGTTCTCTTCAGTTTTACAGGGTTAGAAAAATAACCTGAAACTAACCATTAAGGAACTATAAGTTATTTTAGGTTATTTAATCATAACCATGCAACGTTCTGGGAACATTACTGAAAAGGACGTTCCCCTAATGTTACTATTTGATTCCCAAAAAACTAGCATTAGGGAAATATTCTGTGTTTGCTGGGTATCTGTTGATCTTTATCTCTCAATGATTGTATGAACATATAAACCTGTGTAATATTAATAATAATATTGAAGTAAATTAGTCACACTAGTCTTCTTCTTCTTCTTCTTCTTTCCGGCAGTGTAGACGCTACTGGGCGTATTACTGCCCTCCACAGGTCAAAGTTTGAACTAAATTCTTATATACAGTCCTGTATTATGCAAGAACTGAAGAACTGCCTCGGAGATCAGTTTATGTTGATCACTGTGTCCAAACAAAGAAGTAACAGAAAACACTTTAACTCCAAGTTCTGCCAATTTATCAAAAAGTGCTTTTCTTTCTGCATTATACTTCCTACATTCCAAGAAAACATGCCCTACTGTTTCCATATTCCCACATTCACATAATCCAGAAATATGCTTTCCTACAATATACAAAAAGTAATTTAACACACAGTGCCCCAACCTCAATCTACACAGTTTAAGAGTCCCTACGGGATGGACAAGTACAAAAACATATTTTCTTAACTTTAGGTTTAATAGAAAAAAAATGTCTACTCTTGATTTCCTTTTCCCATCCTCTCTGCCATTCTTTTATTAAG